GCATTAAACACCTATTTTGTTTTAATTCTTATTTTATTTTGAGTTGATTTATAATTTTAAAATCAATTCAGTACTTGTTTTGATCTTCTTTTCTTTATCAGAAACCAGAAAAGCATCGATGACACATATCAAAGTGGATCCACACCACTTCATGTTGGACCGTCCCATATCCACCTGATCTTCTGGATAATCCGGATTCATATGGTTTTTGGCTCATCTAGATGCACCTATTGTATATGTTAGTTTACATGTATAAATATGACCAATAGAGCCTCAGTGACAGATTTTGTAGGTTGCAATTAGCTTATACCTTTTGTTGAATCGTTTATGAATGTAGATTAGGTCGTATGTGCAATTTCTAACCCAAATAAGTGAGGGATATGCGAAAGCTTGACTTTAGCTTAAGGTATCTTAACTATTAATAGTTAAAAACATTATCATTTCCATAAACAGGTGATGGTATTTTGGTAATCTCACTTTTGGATATATTTTTTATAGTGAACAAAATATGATACTGCGAATGGTTATTTTTTGTTTATCCTATATAATGAACAAAAGTTTATATTGCTTTAAATGTTGTATTTTTCTAACTGAAGTTGGCATTTCGTCCTCATTTCTGCAGGTCACTCAGATCCTGCAAAGTTAGAATTAAAGTTCATGATACTCAACAGTTATCTACCGATGAGCTATAGAAACGTCAAATGGAAATCAAGGTTAGAAGCTGAGGCATATATGAGAACTAAATAGTTTAGCAAGATTCAATCAAACGTCTTAAATCTCAAGGAGGAGGCCCAGATGCTGATGTAACATTTTTGACAGAGGTAATAATTAATAATTAATTAAATATATAAATGCAAAATAGTTTTTTTTTAATAAACAAGTTCAGTTTATGTTCAGATTGAACTGCTGTCAAGACTGCACCACTGTCATGTGGTGCCATTACTTGGGTACTGTTTGGAATATCAATACCACACAAAACAGCCTGAGATGCTTTTGGTGTTTGAATACATGCCAAATGGCAACCTGAGAGAGTGTCTAGATGGGGTTTCAGAAAAATGTCTAGATTGGGGGGGCCCGCTTTGTAGTAGCTATTGGAGCTGCTAGAGGGTTGATCTTCATGCAGTAGTTGCACCAAGAATCCTGCATAGAGATGTTAAATCCACTAATATTCTCTTGGATGAAAACTGGAGAGAAAAGGTGGGAATTGGGATTAATAATTTTTAATATCTCATTTGTGAATATTAATAAGTTTGAGTTTTAATTGTGTGATGATTTTGTTGGTAGATTAATGATCAGGGAATGGCTAAGAGTTTGGTGAGTGATGGTGTTTGTGACAACCCGAAATTTCTATTCTGTACAACATTTCAATTCAATAGAAGTCAGAACAGTTTCTGCTAACTTTCAAGCTTTTTGGAATAAGTTTGAGTCTTTATAAGTTAGTACTTCGGGAGATACCAGGAGAGAGGATGCCATAGGGTTTATTGTGCAACAATAGAGTTCCAAAAACATCAAGAGTTTGGAGTTTACAGCCCAAATTGTATTTGGACTGTAAACCCTAGTGATTATATATATGGCACTTAGCCATTTTTCACACTTTTTCACAATTTCAAAGCTAGAACTCAAATCCTCTCAAGTAGCATCCGACTTTTCCTCCTTGATCTTCAACTTGTAAGTGTTTCTAGCCTTATTAAGTTGATATATTACTTAATCTAGTGATCTAACACACTTTCATCCGTGAAATCATTCCAAAAGGTTAGATCTTCAAGTTTCACCAAGAACACCAAGAACACACACTAGTGTTCTTGGACTTTTAGCACCTTTTCAAGCCTCTATCTTGTAAGTACTTCTATCTTAGAGTATCTTAAGGCTTGTTACACTTCCATATATCAAGAAATCACCCAAGAATCACCAAGAACAAGGTGTTTACGGTCCAAGATGTTCTTGAACCGTAAACCCTAAAAAGGGTGCCAAAGTGTGCCCTAGTCCCTCCTAAGCCTTGGAAACATGCATAGATCCCTTCCTTGATGAGTTAAGGGCTTGAAAACATCAAAAGACCATAAACCATAGGGGTTTACGACCGTAAACCCAAAGGAAAATGGTCTAAGGACCGTAAACTCCATTTAGGAGTGAAATGGTGCCCTAATCCCTTCCATAGGCTTATACTTCAAGTAGAAATGCTTCTAAGGACTTGTAGAGCTTCAAAACAACACATGGTCAAAGAAGCATGAGTTTACGACCGTAAACTCATGGGTTTACGACCGTAAACTCAATGAGTTATGGTCACAAAACCGTAAACTCATATAAGGGGGTTCCCTTGAACCCTAAACTCAATAGCAATGTCCTACAACACTTAGATGCAATCCTTGGGACTTATAACACTTATATAAGGTGTTTAGCATGTCCTAGGATGTCTTAACTTTGTTGATTAGTTGTTTAAAGACTAATTGGATACATATATGTGATATTATATGTTAACTAGGATCCTTGTGTGTGTTCAAGACTTCACTTGACACCTAGCAATCCTGTTTCATCAGTTCATCCATACCACTCACTACATGTGAGTTCATACCCCTTAAATTGACCTTTTAAATGTTTTTAAACGCTTTTATGGGGGGGGGGGGGAATACAAGTTGAACAATTATAGTTATTATATCAATCACATGTGATTAATAACTACCAAACAAGTGGTTTTCTTACATTTCAAACTGTGTTATCAAACTGTTTTGCTTCAAACTATTTTACAAACTCTTTTGCTTGTCAAATACTTTTACTTAAACTCTTTTTATACTTTGATATTGTCAAATGCATGCCTATGTATGTATAGTTGTATAAATAATGTTTAAAGGACTTAAGGAAGATTAGCTCACTTTATCTCCTTTTCCTCGTTGGGATGTGGCTTTAGGGCATCGGTTAATCGTCCGAAGGTCGTCTAAATATTAGTTATATATTATGTATACATATATAGACATAAAAGTTTTATCAGTCAATTTAATACCCTTGGTTAGCAAGGGTATACATTCATGTTCATACGTACAAGTCTTATTACTAGTAAACTACGATAGGCGTAGTTTAGGAAGTTACTAATACTATTACTAGAACAAAGAATCATACAATGAGTCAGTTCATTCATGAGTCAATACTTGCTAGATAGAGAGAACACACAATACAGCTAGTACACACAATACATTTCAATACTTGCTAGATAGAGAGAGAACATACAATACAGCTAGCACGCACAGTACATTACAATACAGGCTAGACAGAGGGAGAACATACATTACAGCTAGCACATTCATTACATATACAGTTTTGCAGTTATGTGAGCCACGTTCCGGGGCATGGCACTACCTGCCATGGCCGTTCATGTATCCAGAATCTCCTTAATTGGGGAGCGTATGAGTTTGCGTATAGCTATACTGGATTGACTATCCTACACCTCGCTGCTAGCTACAGTAAGACTTACAAGTCTATGGGTGCCAAATGTCATTTTCTTCCGACATCTTACATTGTCGCGTACTATAGTCGGTAGCAGGATACAGGTCGATCACATGGTACTTTAAATTATGATTAGTTTAAGGTAGTTAGTACAGTGGTAGTTACTTATTACAATACTACAGTACTATTTCATCTTCCCAGTGCATTCACCTTGTGAGTTTCACACGATATACAGAAATGAGAAAACTATATTTTGATAAATGATAGTCAGATTTGGGAAAATACTCACTCTTACAAGAGACATACACAGATACTAGATGCCTTGGTAGAAGGCTACTTTTAGTAGGAAACATAGGGTTTTCTAGGAGTTTCAAAACTTTTACATACTTATACTTCACATACTTACAAATACATTCTTACAAATACAGACACTAAAATACTTATGATCTCACCAGCTTTAAAGCTGATAGACTCTTTCAAAATAACTTGTATTCTCAGGTCACCAGTAGACAGGTACGATGACCAGGTTTTGAGAAGACGGAGCACAGACAAGACTCGTCTTTATTTTGATTACATATTTTGGTGTCTTATTACAATGAAAGAACACTCTTGTATTAAAATTATATTATTAATGCAATGGATGATGTTGTTGCTTGTTTACTACTATTCATTGTTGTGATACTGTACATGACGTCCTCCACCCCCGAACGTTTCCGCCGTTTATGGTTTTGGGGTGTGACAGTGTTCCAAGCTGTTCTAGCTCACCTGCTAGAATGCAAGGGACATTTGGCTATTTTGCCCCTGAATATGCGATTGTTGGAAGGGCATCACTGATGTCAGATGTTTTTAGTTTTGGTGTTGTGCTTCTTGAACTTATTAGTGGTCGGCATCTGATATACAAGTCAAAAGACAAAGGAGAAGAGAGCCTTGTGATTTGGGTTAGTTATTATTATTTTGTACTCTTTTCTTAATCTTATATTTTCTTTTACTAAATAAGGACGAAGATTGCAATAATTAGAATTATCAGGGACCAAATTTTCAAAAAAAGGATCAAAAATGTAATTTAGTAACACCCCGCTCCCGAGTTGAAGCAAAGAAAAGAAGAGAAGAGAAAAGAAAGTAAGGAGAGAAAAGAAGAGAAAATAAACGAAAACAAATTTGTCTTTTGTGCTCCCGAGTTGGAGAGAAATGGAAGGAAAGTTAAACATTTTATTCTTTCTTTTCAAATCCTCCCATATCGGAAGGAAAGTTAGGAGGGAAAGTGATCTTTCCATTTCCTTCCACTTCCTTCCTTTAATGAAACTCGGGAGCATCAATCACTCATACTTTCCTCTCATTTCCGCCCATTTCCTTTCTTTTCTCTCCTTAAGTTGAACTCGGGAGCGGGGTGTAAAAGAAAGTGATAATTTTCATTTTCAGGCGACACCACTTTTACAAGATAGCAGGAGAGTGAGTAAGGAATTGTCGGACCCACATCTGAAAGCGAAATTTGAAGAAGAAGAATGCTAGTGATGGATTATTTAGCAAAAGAGTGTTTGTAGTTAGATCATGATGCTCGTCCAACAATGAGTGAAGTTGTTCAGATACTTCTAACTATAGCACCAGAAAAATCTAAAAGGCGGAATTTCTCCGTTGACCGCTTTCAGGTTTGACTTTGACTTTGAATTTGTCTCTATTAAGTCGTTTTTTTTCTGAGTTCTGATACAAATCTTAATTTCTTAAATAGGATTATACCATTAGAATGGAACGCGAGCTTCAACAATTGTCATCCAGTAGATCATTTTCGTCAGAATCTTCATTGCTTGTGCATACCCCTCATGAAAACGAAGAACCAGTTACAGTTACAGGTCCCGGTTCACATGGTGGAAATGATGAAGTCACTGTTGACTTAACTGAACCATGCTTTGAGTCCTTTTGTGTGTCCAATATTTCATCTGCTTCATAACTTGCAATCAATTTTCTTAATGACAATGGTGAAATCTAGTGTATTAGAGGAAGAAGCCATAAAAGCATTGTATGATGTTTCAGTGATTATTAGAAACAACCTAAATGGCCTCAAATTGTTCTATTCCGAAGGCGGCGACCTAATGCTACAGGTAATGCATGTGGAAGTTGACAAATCAAAGTCTTTTCTAATTTAAAACTTGTTTTCTAGGGCATTTTGAGCAATGCCACTGCTGATGTTAGACTACGCAGGAGATCAGTGTCACTTGTAGCTGATCTGGCTTAATATCAGTTAGAATATACTAGCTAATGGGAGGTTCCTTTTTTCAGCAATTGTGCACTAGTGAGGCTGCTGATTGATTTGACAGCATCACGTGACCTTGATCTCTACGAGAAGGTCAATATGTTTATAGTTGTATTGGGTCAAATCTTGAATTGGAAGGTTCCTTTTCTATACTAAAACCATCCCTTCAAATCTTGAATTGGGTGTTCATTAATTTCCTCAGACCCGCGAAAAACCTCAAGAAATACGGGTCATGAGCATTGGTTACGGGTCTTACAGATGGTATTGGTCAAAAATGTTACTTCAGCATCTAGGTGTAACATCCCGAATATTAAATAAATAAATAAATAAGGGTTAATATGAGTAGAAACCCTAAGATAATAATAATATGGCAAGGTGTTTGCCTCGAGGAATTAATTGTCACGATTTAAGGGTAAGTTATTGGGACTTAATTGAATAGATTTTTGGGAAGGAAGGACTAGAGTGTAAATTTTGGATTCAATTTGTAATGATTTCTGAAGGCGGGGGTTATTAGGTAAATTTTGTACTTAGTTTGAAGGAAATCGGGTAAGGAGGGGCTGAATGTGATAAAATGAAAGGAAGTTTGGAGGGATGCGAGATCAGCCGATGATCAATATTCCCTCCCGTGTTCATGACTCAAACCCTAATCACTATTCTATTGAGCTGCCACCGATCGGGAGTCATCCTTCTACCGCCACTCTTCTTCTTTCTGGCGAAATCGTGATCGGCGAGACCTTGGCTAGCCGTCGGAGAAGCTGTTGTCAGTAGCGTCGAGCAGCACAGCAAAGTCAACAGCGAGTCGCCGCTGCCCTCCTCCGGTGAAGACTGGATTGCTAAGCCCCGACTGTACCACTCTCTCTTTCGTTCCGTCTTCACGTCATCCCTCCGTCGGAGGCACCAGGTAACCTTCTCGACTCCTCCTTGAGTGCGCGATGTAGTCGTTGCCATTGCTGCCGGCTTCTGCCGGCGTTTCTGTTGACTTGAGCGACGTCAGCCACCAAGTAGGTGGCTGAAAGCTACCATTTCGAGTTGTATAGCATCGTTGGAGTTCATGAGCATTTTATTCCAAGGTTTGGCGCACCACCATGGCAGCCAACCATGGTGGCTGCCATTTCTATCATCTCTCGCCGCCACCAGCCACCGTGGATGGTGGCTGAGGGTGTGTTAATGGGTTGATTTTGAGTTTAAGTGTTGGTTTCAGAAAATACGAGGATTGGATGACTGATTGTATGGTCGGAAAACCCCCACCACCACCGTGAGGTGGTAGCTGCCGCCGTGAGCCGCCACCGACCACCACCGCCCGAGGTGGCAGTGTGCGGTGCCCGTTCTAATGAAACCCTAATGGGCCTAAGCACTTAATCTTGGACTGGGCTGCTTCGTATTGGGCTAAAAACCCTAATTAGTGTTTAGGAAACCCTAATTTTTTGGTTTGTTGGTTTGGGCCTATTGGGACCCGCACTTGGACCAATGGACTGAAGTTATAACTCATGACGATTTTATTGTATGATGGCTTAGTGGAATCATGGACTTAATGGGTTAAGTCCTTAATGGGTTAAGTGAGAAACACTTAACCCTAATCATCATTTTATGAGGAAACCCTAATTTTTACTTGGGCCGTATTTTGAGCCTTTTATTGGGCTTTGGTGATTAGGCCATTGATGAGCCATCCAAGAGCAGTCATGTGGACTAGAATATTTAGATGGGCTCTAGGGTAAGGCCCGTGTGAGGGTTTGGGCCCAATTTGGAAAATTGGGCCATAGTTGGGCCATTAGAGGACTTTTTGTGAACCCATTTGGTATTTGGCCTTGGTGGGCCCAATAGGCTTGAGTTAGTTATGGACCGGGTTGGTGGACCATATCTAGACCTAATATGTGAAGGTTGGTCTTAAATCCTAATGGGGTTAATTATGGGTTTTGATTCAGAGTTAGAGGTCGGAGTACAACAACAACATTTATAGGATCTGTTCGCCAACCGATGTGAGTCTTCTCACTATACTTTACCTTGAGTGGTAAGTAGAGTTATGTGACAGATTATCTTGTATGCTATGTATGTGATGTGTTGCACTGCATTATTTCTATGTGATTTATGCTGTGTGTATTCCAGAGTTTACAGAGTTAGGACCGGAAGGTCCATAGAGTTAGGACCAAAGGGTCCACAAAGTTAGGGCTAGTGGGCCCACAGGGTTATAGGCTCGAGTGGCTAATATGTGTTATATGTGGTATTTTGGGGAACTCACTAAGCTTCGTGCTTACCGTGTTATATGTTATGTGTTTCAGGTACTTCTCAGGATCACGGGAAGGCGACAGCTTGATTGTACACACGATATGGAGTTGTGTTCGAGGATCCTGGATTTTATTTAAATAATTATGAACACGTGTTTTTGATAATTGAAATATTGAGATTTTGTGATATGTGTTGATGATATTTATGTGATTTTAAAAATGAAAAATTTGTATGAAAATTTACGGTGTTACAAGTTGGTATCAGAGCCTTGGTTTGAGGGATTCGGATGCACCTTTGGGTAGATCTGGACTCAAACTGAGGATTTGAGAAAATTTTTCAAGGAAATGATTTTTTCTAAAATGAGCAAGAGTTTCTAAAAGAATACGAGTTGGAGCAGTGTGTACAATCAGCCAGAGCCCGAACGGTGATTTCCCAAAATACCCTTACGTTTGTATTATGAGATATTTATGAGATATGCTATGAGATATTATGCATGCTAGAGATAGGCTAGGTGTTTCATATGTTAGGACTAGAGTGGCCTGATTTGTGATGCCTTAGCCTAGGAGTTATTGTTATCTGTGATGTGCTTTCGAGCATGTGTTGAGTAAGAGTATCTAGCCGTAATCCTCTAGAGAGGGTTTTGAGTAAAGGGGTAATCTAGGAGAGATACCTAGATGAGCATTTGAGGAGTCTACTGAGAGAGTAGTCAGATGGCCGCGTGGGGTAAAGTTGCTTGAGTTCGGTGGTATCCTTAGAGTATGAGGAGAGCAAGTAGGTAATGACCTAGAGTGGTTTGCATGTTAGTAGAGATTATTTGATGCCCGAATGCTGCTTGCTTCGTGCTTTGTGGAACTCTTGATGATGAGAGCCAGCTACGAAGTGAATATGACGATATTCAGGAGGTAGACGGCTGGCATCATAACGAGTTCTTCAGCAGCTGATGGCGGGAAGTGTGAGAACCTAGGAAGAGCCTAGGAAAGGGTGACCCTAGTCATATGAGTACACTCACAGAGTTGGATATTTCGCAGAGGAGCGAACACGCATAACAGGGTTGGTGAGTGAGAAGGTCGAGCAGCTACTTAGGGACTCGGGGATGGTCCGTGTGGAAAGTATGGGTAGATGTGGCAGGTAGTATGGGCCCGTACTACTGAAAGCAGAGGACCCATACTCGATACAGAGAACATTCCGGAGGTTCTAAGTAGCAGATCGAGAGGTGATTTCATGGTTCGAGTACCATGATTTGTAGCAGATCCAGAGGTGATTTCATGGTTCGGGTACCATGATTTGTAGCAGATCGAGAGGTGATTTCATGGTTCGAGTACCATGATTTGTAGCAGATCAAGAGGTGATTTCATGGTTCGAGTACCATGATTTGTAGCAGATCGAGAGGTGATTTCATGGTTCGAGTACCATGATTTGTAGCAGATCGAGAGGTGATTTCATGGTTCGAGTACCATGATTTTTAGCAGATCGAGAGGTGATTTCATGGTTCGAGTACCATGATTTGTAGCAGATCGAGAGGTGATTTCATGGTTCGAGTACCATGATTTGTAGCAGATCGAGAGGTGATTTCATGGTTCGAGTACCATGATTTGTAGCAGATCAAGAGGTGATTTCATGGTTCGAGTACCATGATTTGTAGCAGATCGAGAGTTGATTTCATGGTTCAAGTACCATGATTCGTAGCAGATCGAGAGGTGATTTCATGGTTCGAGTACCATGATTCGTAGCAGATCGAGAGGTGATGTCATGGGTCGAGTACCATGATTCGTAGCGGATTGAGAAGAGATAACATGGCTCGGGTACCATGATTCATAGCAGATCGAGGGGTGGCCACATGGTTCGAGTACCATGACCTGTGGCGGTTAGTGTTACTGGTTCTACCAGTTATTCCGTGGTGATTGGTTAGACTGAGATCAGATGTGAAAGAGTATAGGGCAAGAGGGCCATGATGAACGAGTTTTAGTGGAGCATTCCTTGAGAGGGAAATCAAGTTAGCTTCGAGAGATTTTTGTTAAGATGGCAGATGAAGTCGCAAGGCTCAAGGATAAGTAGAGATGGTGGTTATGGAGGATGGCGGCATGAGTTGAGCAATCAGCCGATAGTGAAGATGTCACCTTCTGTGACATGGATGGTATTATTTCCGTTTCCTGTGGGAAACATAAGAGGTGTTGAGAATTCGGTTTCCGAGCTTGGGGCTAGAACCCTGCGGGTTAGCATTGATGGCGCCCTTCCATCAGAGTATTAGGGCAGTATGTCTGCCGAGAGGTAATGATAGAGCATGAGAAGATTGTCAGTTGACTGATATGGTTAAGGACAAGGATACACCCTATTTTAGCATTGTAGGGCATGTATTAGCTGCAGCGGCAGACGATCAAGAAGAGGATATTGGGGCGGTGGCTCTTATTGTCTATGAGGAGTATCGAGTATGGTAATGAGGACTCCGGTCTTATTACAATCCACGTGATGGAAAGTTGATTGAAGAGTCGAGGATGAGGAGTATGATAGTTCATTATTTCAGGTTAAGAGTTAGAGTTACTACTGGACAGTTGAGATGTCCGATAGTGGGATGATACGAGATTCTGAATGACTAGGAGTAGTCATGATGAGAAGTTTCTGAGGATTTCATCTGAGATTCAGGTAATTGGAGTTGCTCGATCTCCATCGAGGAGATCATTGAGCATTGCGTATCACCTCCCAAGAGTAGGTGCGATGTTACTAGTAAAAACAGTCTGTGGGATAGATTGTTGGTGAACCAATTGGTGATGGTTCAAACCCTGAGTGGGGGAGGACCGGGTGCTTTTGAGGAGATCAGAGATCTGTTGAAGAGCGGATAGAGAACTGGATATAGAGACCTATGGTGCGGATTCCTGAGACCAGGATTATTGATGGTCAAGGCGAAGTGCAGAGCGAGATAGTGCATGTGGTACATGTTCAAGAAAGGATGAGTGTCTGCACGGCGGGTGGCCGTTAGGCAGAGACCTTGTAGTAGGTAAGAATTTTTCGAGGTGGTTGGTTTGATGAATGGATTGTTCTATGCTCTTTGGAAAGGGTAAGAGATGATCATGCAACCAGCTTCAGAGTCGGTATGAATATCCTTGCAGAGGTTTGAGCGACAGAGGAGGGAGTTTAGGATTGTCGACATCGTGTTCTGAGTCATCGACGATTTCTCTGTGTTTCAAGTTGAGGATTGGGATTTTCAAAGTTATAAGATGTATGAGAGGAAGATCAGTTGTGAGATTCTGACAGAGTACATTGCGGTATCTGAGTATGATGTCGTGAGTAGGAGATCAGTGGTGGGGGCAAGACATCCTGAGATTCTGTGATGGTGTGCCGAGACATCCGGGTATGATGACCTAAATTTCAGTTTATTTCGAGTCTTGAGTTATGAGATGTCGAGTGGTGTATCAAGTGTCTATGGTTCCAGTGGGGGCCCTTCAGCTAATTGTCATCAAATGGTTTTATCTGAGAATGTGAATTGCTGCGAGAAAAAGAGGTTTTGTCACGACGGTGGTCGTCCAAAGTAGTGATGCTTAGCCTAAATGGGTGTGTGTGAGTTAATGATCGCAGTGTGGCGTCAGCCTGAGGATGAGATTGTGAAGTGGTAAGAGTAAGTGCGGTAAGACTGAGGGGAGCTGCAGCTTCAATGAGTCAGTGCAGAGAGGTTGTGGTGATGCTACGGGGAGCTATAGCACTCACTATTCAGTGAGGGGTGTGGTGATGCTATGGGGAGCCGTAGTACTCACTATTCCGTGAGGGGTGTGGTGATGCTACGGGGAGCCGTAGTACTCACTATTCAGTGAGAGGTTGTAGTGATGCTACGGGGAGCCGTAGTACTCACTGTTCAGTGAGAGGTCGTTGTGATACTGCTGGGAACCATAGTACCCACTAGTCAGCGAGAGAATGTTGTGATGAAGTGCTCTCTGATCAAAGCTTGACGCAGAAGAGTTTTAGGCTTGGGTAGCCTTAATAATTGAGTCTTTGGGAACCTGGTGGCCGGGCCAAGGGCGAGACTGTGGTCTCCATGATGGTTGGGATCCGTTATATCTCGAATTGAGTAGAGGTTGTGGCACATTAGAGGGAATCGGAGAAGTAATGTACGCGTAGATTCGTGAATCACGGGTTGTGAGTTGTGTATCAGACTGGATTTGTGTGGTTCCAATTCTGCTGTTGAATCAGACTCTTGAGCTTGAGTTTGGCCCTATCTGTGTAAAGTATAGATGAGTTGATATTTCAGATTCCTGATGGTTTTCATTTGTAGTGGTTTTGGGTTGCATCTGATGTTCTAGACCTGGGAGGGTCGTTTCGATTGGTTCGAGAAGGATCGCAGCATCCGTAGAGTTAGTGAATGGTAGGCGACAGAGGTCGTAAATGATGTGTGACTGCAGATCGGTTGTAGCATTGTTTGAAGTAGATTGAACTCCGTGGTGTGTACAATGTGGTTGGATGAGATAGCTCGGTTGGATTGAATGGCTGGGGTTACGCTTGGACTTGTGGCCATGCCGATCAAGAGGTCGGGCGTTTAAGGGATGTTAAGGAATGATTTCGAGGACGAAATCTAACATAAGTGGGGGAGAGTTGTAACATCCCGAATATTAAAAAAATAAATAAATAAGGGTTAATATGAGTAGAAACCCTAAGATAATAATAATATGGCAAGGTGTTGGCCTCGAGGAGTTAATTGTCACGATTTAAGCAGTTGGGGGTCAAAAGTGTAAAATTCCTGAGTGGTTTGTAAATATTTTCAAAGGCAGGGGCTGATTGGTAAGTTATTGGGACTTAATTGAATAGATTTTTGGGAACGAAGGACTAGAGTGTAAATTTTGGATTCAATTTGTAATGATTTCTGAAGGCGGGGGTTATTAGGTAAATTTTGTACTTAGTTTGAAGGAAATCGGGTAAGGAGGGGCTGAATGTGATAAAATGAATAAAAGTTTGGAGGGATGCGAGATCAGCCGATGATCAATATTCCCTCCCATGTTCATGACTCAAACCCTAATCACTATTCTATTGAGCCGCCACCGATCGGGAGTCATCCTTCTTCGCCACTCTTCTTCTTTCCGGCGAAATCGTGATCGGCGAGACCTTGGCTAGCCGTCGGAGAAGCTGTTGCCAGTAGCGTCGAGCAGCACAGCGAAGTCAACAGCGAGTCGCCGCTGCCCTCCTTCGGTGAAGACTGGATTGCTAAGCCCCGACTGTACCACTATCTCTTTCGTTCCGTCTTCACGTCATCCCTCCGTCGGAGGCACCAGGTAACCTTCTCGACTCCTCCTTGGGTGCGCGATGTAGTCGTTGCCATTGCTGCCGGCTTCTGCCGGCGTTTCTGTTGACTTGAGCGACGTCAGCCACCAAGTAGGTGGCTGAAAGCTACCATTTCGAGTTGTATAGCATCGTTGGAGTTCATGAGCATTTTATTCCAAGGTTTGGCGCACCACCATGGCAGCCAACCATGGTGGCTGCCGTTTCTATCATCTCTCGCCGCCACCAGCCACCGTGGATGGTGGCTGAGGGTGTGTTAATGGGTTGATTTTGAGTGTAAGTGTTGGTTTCAGAAATTACGAGGATTGGATGAGTGATTGTATGGCCGGAAAACCCCCACCACCATCGTAAGGTGGTGGCTGCCGCACTTAGACCAATGGACTGAAGTTATAACTCATGACGATTTTATTGTATGATGGCTTAGTGGAATCATGGACTTAATGGGTTAAGTCCTTAATGGGTTAAGTGAGAAAGACTTAACCCTAATCATCATTTTATGAGGAAACCCTAATTTTTATTTGGGCCGTGTGTTGAGCCTTTTATTGGGCTTTGGTGATTAGGCCATTGATGAGCCATCCAAGAGCAGTCATGTGGACTAGAATATTTAGATGGGCTCTAGGGTAAGGCCCGTGTGAGGGTTTGGGCCCAATTTGGAAAATTGGGCCATAGTTGGGCCATTAGAGGACTTTTTGTGAACCCATTTGGTATTGGGCCTTGGTGGGCCCAATGGGCTTGAGTTAGTTATGGACCGGGTTGGTGGACCATATCTAGACCTAATATGTGAAGGTTGGTCTTAAATCCTAATGGGGTTAATTATGGGTTTTGACTTAGAGTTAGAGGCCGGAGTACAATAGCAACATTTATAGGATCTGTTCGCCAACCGAGGTGAGTCTTCTCACTATACTTTACCTTGAGTGGTAAGTAGAGTTATGTGACAGAGTATCTTGTATGCTATGTATGTGATGTGCTGCACTGCATTATTTCTATGTGATTTATGCTGTGTGTATTCCAGACTTTACAGAGTTAGGACCGGAAGGTCCATAGAGTTAGGACCAGAGGGTCCACAAAGTTAGGGCCAGTGGGCCGACAGGGTTATAGCCTCGAGTGGCTAATATGTGTTATATGTGGTATTTTGGGGAACTCACTAAGCTTCGTGCTTACCGTTTTATATGTTATGTGTTTCAGGTACTTCTCAGGATCACGGGAAGGCGACAGCTTGATTGTACACACGATATGGAGTTGTGTTCGAGGATCCTGGATTTTATTTAAATAATTATGAACACGTGTTTTTGATAATTGAAATATTGAGATTTTGTGATATGTGTTGATGATATTTATGTGATTTTAAAAATGAAAAATTTGTATGAAAATTTACGGTGTTACACTAGGCCTCCTCCTTCAAATCTTGCATTTATATATTTAATTAATTATTAATTGGGTGTTTGTTAATTTCCAGTAAAGGAATAAATTCGGTTCTTGTGGGTCGGAATCTTGCTAAACTAAACAATGTTTCAGATTCAATCCGAACTAAATTCAAACAAACCCAAATCAAAGTTGTTGTGGTTGATTTTAGTTGTGATTTAGATCATGGGATTGAGAGGATTAAGGAAACAGTTGCTGGTATAGATGTTGGGGTTTTGATAAATATCGTTGGGGTTTGTTATCCTTATGCTAGATTTTTTCATGAAGTTGATGTCTAATTTAATTAAGGTTAATGTTGAAGGGACGACTAAAGTTACAAATGTCGTCTTGACTGGAATGATGAAGAGAAACAAAGGAGCTATTGTTAATATTGGGTCGAGTGTTGTAGTTGTTACGCCTTCTAGTCCTCTTTATGCACTTTATGCTGCTACTAAAGCGTAAGGTCCTTCGTAACTATCTAGTGATAATCTAAAAATGTTGTTTCAGGTTGAAGTATGAACATTAGTTTTCTTGCTCTTAACTTAAGATATCGAAATCTACCCTCTTACCAGTCTTATAAAAGAATAGATTTTTTGATAATTGAATAATAGTATCCTTCAAATTTGCAGAATGAAGTTGGCATTCCCGCAGTTACAGACAACAAAATCCCTCAACCCCATGTTACTTTGAGATTTCATTTATTTTCAAAAATAAATGACAAGTCTTGATTTAACTATGGATCAATCATGTTACTTTGAGATTTCATTTATTTTCAAATAGCTTTATGTTAATAGTATACTTTGAGATTTCATTTATTTTCAAATAGCTTTATGTTTACATTTTTGCCCTCATTTTTCATGTGTGCTACATTTCACAGGAGTTATAATGAATGATTAGACTGTGCATCAGTTGTGTAAACAGGCTGTTTCACAGGTATTTACCATTTCAACTTTTGACTTTTAATTGACTTCAAGGGTGTTGATATTCTCACAGGTTCGTACTTTTAACATTTATATGTATATTTGTTATGCAGTATGAAAGTATTGTTTTAATCAAGTCTATTTCTTATTATATTAAAAGAATTTGTGGTGTACTATAATAGACGACAAGGCTGCTGGAATGATTTTTTACTAATGTTAATTGATTGTAAACATAAACAGTACACTATAGAGGAGAAAGTCATTGAAAGAGCTTATAAAAAGCTTGCACTTGATGCTTTGGTTATTCAACAATGACGTTTACCTGAGCAAAAGAGTAAGCATTTCTTCACATCACCTTTTTACTAGTTTCCATTACTTCTAAATAACATGTCATCTTTTTTTTTGGTAGCTATAAACAAAGATGAGATGCAACAAATGGTGAGGTATGGTGCTGAAATGGTATTCAATTCAAAGGATAGTACAATCACAGTTGAAGATATCGATAGAATCATTGCTAAGGGAGAAGAGGTATTCAACTGTTGATTTGTATGATTTTGATGATGACGAGGTGTTCTGCTGTTCTCTTGTCCTATGATTATGTTGTATTACTATGTTGTGTCATGCTCATAACTTCTTGATGATTGTGTGTTTTAATTTATGAAGGATGAGAACAAGGTTGACTTTAAGAAGATTGTGAGTGATAACTGGGTGGAGCCTCCACATGTATCATGTGGAAACAGAAGAAGCATAACAATAAGAAGTAGAAAGAAGAAGGTGTTCCATAATAGCAATGTAGTATTAGGTTATATAGTTAGGGAAAACCTCTTAATTGCAATGTACAATAAGATCCCCTTAATACCAATGTATTACAATTTTTTGACATGATGTTATTGGATGAAATTGATTTTTTCGTATATATTTGTTTCCATATTTTTGTATTATACGTAAATGAGTATCGTAAAGACGTGTCGTAAATGTATATATATCATAAATGGTTGTTGAAGTTTATGACACGCAAATGCGTGTCATCTTCTTTTATGACAGGGGCTTTAATGATACACAATGCGTGTCCTAAACGCGCGTCATTAGGTTACGACACGCAAACGCGTGTCATTTTCCTTTATGACAAGGCCTTCCTTGACACGCATTGCGTGTCGTAAAAGCGCGTCGTAAATGCGTGTCGTAATTGCGCGTCGTAAATGCGCGCCATAAATAGACGACGCGCAAAAGCGTGTCGTCTCTCGTTATGACAGGGCCTTCCTTGACACGCATTTGCGCGTCATCTGAGCGTTTTACGACACGCATTGCGCGTCGTAAAAGGCAGTTTTTCTAGTAGTGACACACGCTACACCGATCTATGACAAACCTTAAGCCACCCTTTGCCACCCTTGTTAAGTCCATGTTAGTGTGTCGGTTAACCACACACGCCCCACTAACGACTTTAGCAAGGTGCAAAGTGTAATTTCATAGGTTAGCATCAATTTCACATTTTCCTAAAGTAACTAAGATTTGGAATGTATAAAAGCTTTAGTTACTTTATATTTATCATTATACATTTAATGAGAATTATAGTTCTTGTCCTACCCGTTCGGCTAACGACCCTCCACCAGTTAAGGAAGTGGTGGGTGAGAGTGGATACACATTAAGCTGCCATTTTATAGGCAACAACCTTATACCCCCTTATAGACCAACTTCGTGAATGAGGACTACTAACGGTAAGACTGACTTGATCTTATATATATATATATATATATATATATATATATATTATTAACTTATAATATTATTAAGTATAAGGGTTGAATTTTAAACTTTTAAAACTCTAGGGTTTGGAATTAAAGTTTTTTAAAGTGACTTTACAAATTCCAAAAATTGAGGGCAAGTTTTGAAACTAATCAAAACCTTTCATATTCAATAACTTATGAGTTTTAATGATGTTAAAGAAAAGACTTTTGGAATTCCATAACTTGAGGACAAGTTATGGAGTCCATTAATAGCATTTAGATCAAGAATTACAATAACAAACAATTTGCTAAAAATTCCTATGATCTACCAAAACTCATAAGCATGAACATTCATATCAACAATTTTCAAGAATCATATAAACATATATAAAACTTGAAACTTTGATAATAACCTTTGAAAATGGATTAGCATAATCATTAACACATCAAAAACAGATTTTAGAAGTCCAAAACAGTTTAGGGTAATGATTTTGGTCCATTTCGAGCAACAAAACTCAAAATTCTGCACTCTGGGCCTCCTACTCGGCGAGTGCAAGAACCTACTCGACGAGTAGGATGAGTTTTCACTTGGACTCGTCCCGTTCCCCCATGGACTCGACGAGTCGACTGAACAGTAAGAATTAATTCGACTTTTTTCAGCAATTTGCATCAAGTATAAAGAAAACAAGCCTAGGCTCTGATACTATTGATGGGTTTTGAGCATTCTAACACTCTTATGGTGTACATGCAACCCTAGAAACCTTGGATCTATGTTTTCTCTAATATACATGCAAATTTAATTTTTCCAAGGTTCTCATCCTAACTAGCATGTTATGGGGTACTTGTAATACAAAAAACTAGTAGAATGACATACCTTTCTTGTTGCTTGTATTCCTTAAGAACTTGTGAGCCTGGCACCCCAAATGTGATGGCTCAAATGTTTCACACAACACCACAACTCTTGGAATAACTTGAGAGAAGTACACTTGAGCAAAAAATCGGCTAGCCCTCACCCTTTTAGTCTTAGATACCGATTTTGCTCCATATGAGGTTCTTTATATAGTGTGTTACATGTAGGGTTACACCATGTTAACCCTAATGTGCATGGCTTTTCATTTCCCCCATAATCCATGGGTTTTAACCTCCATGGAGCACCCAATGGGTCCTAGCCCAATCTAGTGAATCATGGATCATAAGCCCACTATATAAGAATGAATGATTTACTAAATCAATCCCTATATATTTAATTAGTCTCTTTTGATCACAAAATTAATTCCAAATTAATTCTTGATCAATACTAATTAAATAATATGATTTCATATTAATATATTAGAACTTATAATATATTAACATATCATAAGTGTCCTTTTTCTCATTTTTCTATCCAATTGTTGCCATGCCATGAAACCTAAATGGACCATGCCAAGTCGGGTTAAGTACATACTAAATATAGTTATGGACTTAGACACCTTATCCAACAATATTGATAGTGGCTGTTCGCGTCACGCAACGGGAAGGAGAGAGGAGTTGAGGGAATTTCGATCGCTGAAGGATGGTGTCTATGTCATGTTTGAGGACAATTCAATCGGAGAAATCAAAGGATATGGGATGATTACGAATGGAGAATTCTCGATTCGGAAGGTAGCTTATGTGGGCGGCCTGCAACATAATCTAATAAGCGTTTCTCAATTGGTTGTAGGTACAGGGCTAAAAGTCTCATTTGACGACGAGGGATCAGAAATAATAGAAAAGAAAACAAAAGTAGTGCTATTGAATTCCAAATGAAAAGGCGAAATGTATCCTCTGAATTTCAATCCTATCAAAGGGAAGCCTTCTATTTTCCTTCTTACGAATGATAGGCTATATTTTTGTGGTTTGGGCTAGGCATTGTCATGTATAGGTCGTGGTAGGATGTTAGAGTGTGTTGTGGTGGTCATAGCATGTTAGTGGGTGTGTGCGGCCATACACGTGTGTGCGGCTGCACACTTGTGTGCTGCTAATTGTGGTATAAATAGGCTGTGTCAGTGTGTCAGTAATAGTGACGTATGTATGCGTGTTTTTCAAGGTGTACCTGACATTTATACGTTATAGATGTGTGGATGCTTGATTTTATTCTCATTCTACTCCTTCTACACTCTGTTTGATTGCTTGCAATTCATTGATTATTGATTTGGATCTATTGATTAGGACTTACAATTGGTATCAGAGCAAATTCAGTGTCAATTTGAAGAATCATAGAGTGTGCGGTTGAAGATAATTGTGGTTTTTGAAGTGCATTCATACTTTTTGATTGAGAAACTGCTACTAATCATTGTTTTTACTAATTTGGAATCAGAATTCGTTCAAAAATCTAGTATTTTTGAGTGTGCGGTTGGAGCTTTGAAGGTGTGCGGTTGAGTCTTTGAAGGTGTGCGGTTGAGTCTTTGAAGGTGTGCGGTTGAAGACTTTGAAGATGTGTGGTTACGTCTTTGAATGTGTGCAGCTAGTGTGTGCGGTTGAGTGTGCAGCTAGTGTGTGCGGTTGAGTGTGCAGCTGGGTGTGCGGTTAGAGTGTGCGGTTAGAGTGTGCGGTTGGAGTGTACTGTTGGTGTGTGCGGTTGTAGTGTGTGCTGTTGACGTGTGCGGCTGAAGTGTGCGGTTGCACTCATCCTAATTAACGAAGTTTTTGTTGATTTCTAAAACATGGAATCTCAAAGCATGTCAGCTCACCATGAATTGGATGCAATTATGGGAACCACTTCTCGAATTCCACGACTGTTATCTGCGGAAGGATTTCCAAAATGGAAATATCGGATCGAAAAGTGCATCAAAATGAAGGATTTCAAGATATGGCGAAGTATTCTTAGAGGACCAATCTGCATTACAACTACATTGGAAGATGGAACCATAATTGATAAGCAAGTTGAGAACTACACCGATGATGATTTCGAGAGAGTCGAGGAGCAGGAATAGGCTCTTGCTACACTAACCATGGAATTATCTCTGGAAATCGCTCAAGGTTTCCATGAGTATACATCAGCAAAGGCTTTATGGGAAGCACTGATAGA